ATGCTTTCTTTTTTCGTCAAAATCATATTTTCAATTCTTCCTCGTCACTTCTCTGTGCACTTATATCCGTTTTCCGTTACAAAGCATCATCTATTCTATTCATCGAACGCCCACCGATCACATTATTCCACCTTTAGCATTCGCCATTACATTCACTTTTTTTCTAAAAGAAGGAGTTGGGGTATAACAAGTCTATCTCTTTATTTTTCACTTTTTCAATTCATTTATTTTGTCGTTTTTACAGACACACCGTCCTTTTCAAATTTTCTTTCTTGCTGTCCAGGAATATATATAAATCTATATCTATCTATCTATCTATCTATCTATCTATCTATCTATCTATCTATCTATGTATGTATGTATGTATGTATATAAATGGTGGTACCCGTTTGGAAAAAAAACAAAAAAACTCGGCACGCTCAACTTGCAGTAAAGCAAATCGGTACCAGAAGAAAAATGGGGAATAAAAAAAAAAAGAGCCAAGAACATTAAAACAAGGCGAAAACAATCGTTCTGTTTTTAAGCTCCAAAGTAAAAAAAACAAAAAAACAAAAAAAAAAAACAATAAAAATACAACTACGTAAAGTGCTCAATACACTAAGTAAAGCAAAAATTAAGATAATCCTAAGGAGCCAGGCAAACCTACCTAGGTTTCACCTAAACGGATCTTCAGGGTTAAAACGGCTGAAAAGGATAATTATGGAACAGAATTTATTGCTAAACCCAAAAATAAACATAACCACGTGACAAAAAAAGAAGAAAAAAAACTATTCTAATGACCAACTTTTCCTATGCATAGGAAAAGCTAGTTATTAGAATAAGTTTATTTTTCTTTTTTCTTTTTTTTTTAGCAATAAATTTTGTTCCATAATTTTCCTTTTCAGTCGGCTTTACCCTGAAGATCCGTTTAGGTGAAACCTAGTAGGTTTGCCTTGGCTCTTTAAGATTATCTTATATATATATATATATATATATATATATATATATATATATATATATATATATAATGGTGTCTGTGTGTATGTCGAGACTACAGTGATGAAAGAGGAATTTAATTACTATCTCGCAAGTTCTGATATGACGATAAACTACATCCGGCAACAAGGTCTCTGATCGGGAGATTGGAGGTTTTCAGGAGCGTGAAACCACCTCTTAATTGCTGTTGTTCCACGGTACACCCTGACCTAGTAGATGTTAGAACCTGTTTGCGTAAGATCTATGAGAAAATAGTGCCCCCAAAAAAAAAAAAATTACAAACACTATGAAAGTATAAAAATAAAAAATTTGATAGTAAAAATGCCAGCAATTCATTTTTGTATTACAATACATGAGTATAATAAAATTATCAACAATACAATTTTAAAGCAAAATGATTAACAACATATTTTATCTGTAGTTCAAGGTATACAGCTACATTAAGAATATATTCAGTTTGAACCCATAAAATTTTGTTAAAAATATTCAAATTTCGGCATTAAATAATCCATAGACGTTGATATGACGTTAAACAAATTCAACCAAACAACCAATCACCATGAAATAACTCTTTCATAATAGTAATTCTATTGTAAATCCTACAATTTTTTAAATCAAACTTTTAAAAGTTCTTGAAAAACAATATCACGGCTTGATCTAATCCTTGTGAACACAGTTGGATAGACGGTGGTGCAGCTCGAAATCTGTTGATTTTCATGACCGAGAATTTGAGAATACTGGCCTTGTTCAAATTGTGGTCACATCACATTATGCTATTTCCCACTCAGTATCAGTTGCTGCATAAAACACAGGCCTCTGTGATTTTAAAAAGCCCGCGTTTGTAAACAGAGATTGGTTAGCCGCTATAAAATGCAAGTAACCGTTCAATATATATATATATATATATATATATATATATATATATATATATATATATATATTATTATAAATTAACTGATTTAAAATATGTTTTTTTTCGCTACACAATTCTAAGCATGTTTCAAAATGTAAGCTAAAAGCTTAGAATTTAATTTTGTAATTAAATTAAAGACATTAGTTCCATTTCATCCTCAAGCGAATTTTGGAATAACTTATTTTTAAATTTACTGGGTTTTAAAGGTACGGCAAAAAATCATAATTTAGTTTATATATCTTACTGTCCTATATATATATATATATATATATATATATATATATATATATATCTTAATATTCTCTCTCTCTCTCTCTCTCTCTCTATATATATATATATATATATATATATATATATATATATATATATATTTATATATATATATATATATATATATATATATATATATATATATATATATATATATACATATATATGATAAAATATAGTTTTAAGGTATGCTATATTTATGGGTTAAAGTGTTCAATATCAGTGATAGAGCGTATGTAAATGTGTGTGTGTGCGTTCTTAAGGGTTATATTAACTGTGAATTGTGTTATAATAGAAAGTAAACCAATTATCGTATTTTGAGAAAGCAAAAATCAAACTATATGGATAATATATAAATTAATGAACGTTCAGTCAAAATCAGCCAATTCTATTTACGAATAAAAGAAAATTTGAGCCGATAAAAACTATAGTCTTAATCCTTTTAGACGTTTTTTTCTTTTTAATATCTATTCAAATTTTGACTGGTTTCTATTTTTGTAGATAAAAATAAATATGTATTTAAATCCCAATTATCATTTATATATAATCCTTAATAAGAAACCGATATTTTGATTACTGTAGTGGACGGATTCGAGTCAAATTGAGTATTTATTTACTGGATTATGTAACATACTTATCTGTATAGTTTTGCCAATTCCATTGTTCACTTTAATCGATTCACAATTTATTAAATCAATGTCTGGGTTGCTTGTTTATAGATTTTCCTGTTTAGAACATAGATTCATGCTTTATTTTATAACGCACATAAGTTTTTAGTATAGGACCCCTATATATATATATAAATATATGGAAACACTTAGAGAACGAGTACTAATCAGAACCGCTAAAAAGAAAAATTATGACATTTTTTACGGCTTATAAACTGAATTTGGATTGTAGGAAGTCGTATACAGTATCCGGTGTTTCTAAGCGGTCACCCATCTAGGCACTGACCGGTCTTGACGTTACTTAACTTCGGTGATGGAACGGGAATCTGTATTTTCAGGCGCGATTTGGCAGCATAATTATATATATATGTATGTATGTGTGCGTGTGCGTGTGTGTGATTTGAGGTCAACACCCAACAGCGGCAATCTGTACCCTGCTTAAATGCTTATCAAGGATAATTGTTATTCTCTCAATTTAATATTTACGTGCATATTCCTCTGACGATGTGTTGGTTGAAAAGGATCCTTAAAGAAGAATGCTTTCTTACATTTATATATATATATATATATATATATATATATATATATATATATATATATATATATATATATATATATATATGTGAGTGTGTCAACACCCACAGCGGCAGTCTGTACCCTGCTTAAATGCATTCGTCAGGCCATATTTACATACGCTCTATAACCTGACATTGACACTTTAAAATAATAAATATAGCATACCTTAAAATCACACACACACACACACACACACACACACACATTAGGAAAGAGCTGTATATGGGAGAAAAGTAAGCCATTTTGAAGCTGAGGAAAGAGAAATCAGGGCTATTGGACAAACATTGGGCATAGCCAACACACTAATTTGGAATATCCCGAAAAATAGAAAGAAAATGATTTACTGAGCAACAGTAACAGGTCGCCCAGAGCAAACAGCCGCAGTTAATGACAGAAACACCGTTGGCGCTGCAAGGAAAATCCCATAAACAACAGTCAGTGACATATCAAAGCAAATGTCTTCAGTAAACAACAAAAACAAAGGTATTGGATTTGGTGTTCCAATACTTTGCGAGATGACTGAATATATGGAGGAAAGGGAGGAGTAATGGATAGTGGCTGCGATCCGAGTTCGAATTCCAGTCAGTTCATTACATTCAATTAGGTGCTATTAACCTTGGGAAAGGTATGAATCTTCTCCCCCGCCACCATATATGAGTAAATAGCAGGACAGACTGGGTCTTATAATTTTGAGTAGCAAACGGTCTAGGACAAAGACAACTCTGAATTCAAAACATCCGGAGGATAGTTTGGGGACTTTTGGCATGCTCTGCAACAGTTCTCTGTATTCGGCTCTCCCCAAAATTGTGGTTGGTAATGCCCAAGCCTTCACCACTATAATCAATTGATATGTCGAGTATATATGGTAGTTTGGATTTGGTTCTAAGAACTGAGCTGTTTGATACCCATACTTAGAAAACGACGGGAGAGTCCAGCACACACACACACACACACACACACACACACACACACATATATATATATAAAATTTCTATTAAAGTCCGTATATAAGCAAACTGAGGACCTGAGATGTTTCTATTGAAGTACGAATATTAGGAAAGAACCCTGTATCATCTTATAAATATTATTGAGATATTTTCTTTTCTGAACTTGTTGTGAAATCTACGTGCATTATTCAAGTCCGGATACATATATCCAGAGGCTAGAGAGATGTTCGAATATAAGAAACGAATCCCTGATTACTTCTCGTACCAAGTTCATGTGAGATTTTCTCTTAGTTGAAAGTGTTGAATATATTCACAAGCTGCAGCGAAGAAGGAATATGATAAAGAAATTCTTTTTGAAATAATATCTGAGCCTCCTTCTGTATAAGACAATGCTGAATTTCTTAATATCATGAGATAAAAAATAGAGAAGGGAAGTGACAAAAAAGATTAACCATCAGTTTTAAGAAGACATGATACACAGCAGTTAACAAGAGAGATACACTCCTGATCAAAATCTTAAAGCAGATACAAAATGGTTAAAAATATAAAATACTGTTACTTTAATCGAAGTATATATGCGTATCATTTACATTTATTAGAAAATGTAGTTTATCAACAAACAAGAGAAAACTTTTTTTAACTGATTAATTTAAACAAATATAGAAAAAGTATTTTTTGGTTGGTCTTAAAGATAAACCCTAAAAAAAACAAAAAACAAAACAGGACAAATAAGTCACAAAGGCAATGTAATATTCAGTATATGACCCATTTCTGCGAATTACTTCGAAAATTTGTTTTGACATATCATTAACTTCTGCATGAGGGTGCTTGGGATGCTCTCTCAGCATGCATAAACTGCAGCACGAAGAGCATCCACAGTTTCAAATTGCAATCCAACAATCCGAAACATTCTCGATTGGCTTTAGGTCTGGAGAGCACGGTGGATGGTTCAAAAGTTGAATGTTCTTTCCCATCAAAAAACATCTTCGACCTTCGAGCGTTATGGATTGCAGCATTGTTCTGTTGGAAAATTCAGTTTTCTCCACATAGACGAGGCTTTCAGTAATTAGCGATGCCTTTCTTAATATATCAATGTAATTAGCAGCTGTTTAACTACCTTTTACCTCATGTAACTCAAGAGTTCCATTGTACGAAAATGAACCCCAGACCATAATATTCCACATCCACTGTGTCGTGTTGGGAAAATTTCTTTTAAGACATCAATTGTATGCCAGTAACGCTGAAAACCGTCTATAGGCCATAAAGGTTGAATTTATTCCCAAACTTCTGAAAACTACACTTTCTTCCATTTATCCACATTCGAAGTTTGATAATCTGAAGCAAATTGTAAACGGGAGGTTTTATGGTGAGGAAGAAGGCGAGGCCTCTGCAGTCGTTTCACGTTCCTAAACTCTTTCTTATTTAAATGGCGTCGAATTTTTCGAGAGCTGCATTCTGCATCTGTATTCGCTTTTATCTGGTTTGATGTTAGACTTAAATTTCTCTGAGCTTCTCGCTTAATGCGTCTGTCTAGAGACTGTGACATTTTACTTGGGCGGCCACTTGATGTTTTAGAAGCATACGGATCCGGATTTTTTTAATGAATTTAACAAAGACAGTTCTGCTACGGCCAATGTCATTTGCGATGGATCATTGGGAAAGACCACGTCTTTGAAGTTCAAAAATACTGCCTTGTTTGAATTTTGTTAAACTTTACCCATAGCCATTTTAAAATCTGAAATTTAATGCTGGAAATGAGCTAAGTAGATATCTACACGCCTGAAGCTTTGAGCACACGAGTTCTAAAATCTTTGTTCTGTAATTGTTTCATACATCGTCTTATTTTTATGACCAACCACAAAAAAAAAAAACCTTTTCAATTTTTGTTTAAATTACTCAATTAAAAGCTTAAAATTTTCACTTTTTTGTTAATAAACTACATTCTTAATTTAAATATTAATGTTTTGCAAATATATTTCGATTAAAGTATCAGTATTTTATATCTTTTAACACTCAAGATTCAAGTTACAAATTGGAAACGTGAAAATTCAGCAAGTACGCGAATTGTGCCATTTTGGAATTATTGCAAAAGACAATGAAAATGTGACAGAAATTGATCGACGTACTAGAATAGCGGAAGATGACTCCCAAAAGCTAATGAAGATATTAAAAAATAGAAAAGAATTATTGTTAAAAGTATTCTGAAACGTTATGTAATCGCAATTTTCTCATATTGCAGTGAATGCTGGACAATTCTCACACATATGGAGAAGAAAGCTGAAGCAACATGGTAGAATACCATGGACGGAACCTGTGAACACAGGAACTTTTAATGAGAATTTGGAAGAAAAAGGAGAAAAAAACAGAAGGAACCGTTGGGATACATAATGAGAAAAAGAATCTTGAAGGATTTGACGACTCACGGAGTATACTGAAGTTAGGAATGAAGGTAATCAGATACAGTTAATAATCTGTCTAACAAGCTTTTTCTAGGGAGGATAGGAAGATACAAAAAGCTAATATCTCCCATTTTCTGAACTAGCATAGAAGAAGAAGAATAAGAGGAAGAATCTCTGCTTTCTTATGTTATTGATAGATATAACCTGTGAGTAATTACTAAAACAACGTCAATACGTACAATATATTGGCACCGAGGTTCACGCATTTAATTCGTTCCTGAAGGCTGTTCGTAACCTGAAACGTTCGTAAACAGAAACTATTTTTCCAACAGGAATCATGTAAAAAAAAAAAAAACAAAAAACAAACAAACAAAAAAAAAAAAAAAAACAGTACAATAAAATAGGAAAAGAAAAACACGTCACAACACACTAATATATACAACATGGAAATAATTCCGTTCGGGTAAACTTCGTTCGGCAATGTTGTTTGATAACCGAAGCATTTTCATCTCGAATTTTCTGTTCGAAAAACGATTTGTTCGTTATGTGGAACATTTGAGAACCGAGGTTGCTCTGTACTATGCCTAGACATTACATGTCTATTCTATTCTATATCGAGGTAATTGATTATTTCGAGAAAGTACCCAAAATTTAGGACACAATGCAAGCCTTCCCAATATGTCTTTATATTCATCAATAAAACCATGTTGCGAAAGCTGTTTTATATTATTGAAAGAATCAAAATGGCTTTAAGTGAGTGAAACCTGTGGGGTTTATCGAAGACCATACTTCTTTGAAAATTGTGGATTGGCGCTACAGAATTCCAAACAAAGAACTATCCTAAATAAGAGAAAACACATCACTTGAGGACTTTCAACAGTAGCAACAACTAAAATGGATATCACATATAACTCTAAGAAAAATAGTGACACACTACTTCAAACAAAAAGTTAAGACGGAAACCCCCATCAATAATGAAAAAATTGCTTTAATAAAAAAAAATAATAAATTTCATCCGAGAGTCGTACTGGCTGTTCGGCCAAGGAATTCGAAGATATTTCCTTATAACGAAACGGCTAATATTACCCATATCATTATCATTTGCCCAACTTACAAGATTCAATTTATATTTATATTTTAATTGGTTTTCTGTTTTTGACGAATATTTTTAATATTCTCCATTTTTTTTCTCTTCGATTATTTTCAACAAAACAATAATATTTTCTTGCTAATTGTTCCATAATTTTTGTCTATCATCTACTTTATTAAAAAAAAATCTTTTCAGCGAATTTTTTTCTTGATTTTATCTTGCCAAAACTCTTTGCTTCTTTTTTCAAACTTTTCGAAATTCGTAATGTATTCTAATCATTCAATAATCTTACAATATCTCGTTTCTCTTTTCAAATTATATTTTTCTTACGGCCCATACTGATCTTCCAAAATCTGAAATAAAAACAAATCTGGTCATATAATCTATTTCCAATTTGATGAGCAATTCTCGCGTTGCAAAATAAAATCAGTACATCAAGTCAGTTATTGTAAATATTTCTGATATTTCAAACCAAAATTCATGTCATATATTTACCCGCTTAATAAGTACATTATGAAAATTGTCAAAATTTCGGCAGCCTAATATCAATTTTATTGCGTAAGCATTGGTTTGCATATAAAAACCTTTATGTTTTATTAAAGAAACATGTTTAGACTCGAGAATGTCTCCTTCATCGACAATTCTCATTTATATACCAAGACAATATTGATGGCTAAGTGTAAGAAAGACATTTTTACTTTTATTTGTTGCAAATATTATTTGTGCCTGCCTTGTGACTGAGGATGAGTTCGAATATGAGAAAAAAATCTAAGCATACTTCGGTTATAGTAATAATTCGATCTTGTTTTAAAGTTTAGATCATTGCATAAATATTGTATACTAATTATAATAAAGGGATGAATGCTGTCTTTTATTATAAAAAAAATTATTTTGGATTCGTGGCTGACATTGTTGCATTTATCTTCAGGCTTATACTGAAGGCTGTGTATTGGTAAGTCATCCTTTATTTTTGCTGATAGTTGATATTTACTCCTAGCTAAAACATTGCATATAACCCTAGGATAAATTAGAACAGTATATAAGAAAATAATCTCTGTTTTCTTGTATTACAAAGATTATTTGTCCTTGTATCATCGCTGAGATTATTTCATATAACCTCAGGCTTTACTAACGATATAAAAAACTTATCTGCTCTCTTCGGATATAATGATTCTTTGGGCATGCATTGCAGTTACTATTATGTCATATGTACAACGATTATATAAAAGTTCTAATTTACAAATATATGTGTGTATGCATGTCTTAAAAATAATAAACTTTTTCAAACTACAAAAACTTAAAACCAAGAAAATTTACTATTTATCTATCTACCACTTTTGAATGTTCCGCGCTAATCTATCTATCTATCTATCTATCTATCTATCTATCTATCTATCTATCTATCTATCTATCTATCTATCTATCTCTTTCTGAGTTACCCTCCTGGTTCATATGTAACAAGAACATTTAAAAGTTATGCTAAAATAAAATACTCTTTTTACAATTCTCATAAAGCCTTACAACTTTTTAGAAAGCTCTATTGAACTTATTTTTGCTCTTATTTTAATAGAGCGAGATTTGGCTTCAGTTTTTGTTGAAATTGTTCAGTATATACTGAAAATATAAAAGTTTGTTTGGATTTCTACGTAGGGAGGATAGCTGCATATTTCTCCAAATGTGCCAGTGAGCCCTGTTGAGCATAGAGTTTTGAATTTTTCAAGGAATACAGGTTTTTTTGTACACATCAATGATTGGGATGTGCACATAGTGTAGCGGTGATTGGCATAGACTTTGGAATTCATGTGTCTTGTTCAACTTCCAGCCATCCCGTTCTTTCACAAAGACACAGTTACTTTTCTCCTCTCGCCTCTTTTCTAGCTCTCTAGCTGTGAATGACACAATTCAGAAAAAGGGTAACACTGAATTCCGAATCAGACGGGCGTAGAGCAAGTAACTCTATCTTGCCAATACGTAGCAACGCTTAGCGTAGTGACTCTATGAGCTTATAATCCACATGAGAATCTACTAGTTTTAAATACATGTATACACATAAATGATTGTTGCATAATTTTCTTTCCTCATTTATACCCTCGGTGCTTCTATTTTACTTTAAACTACTCTCCGTTAATATGTCATATTTTACCAAGTCTCCCAGTTAAGTGCGATTCGTGTTGGACTAAGCGTAAGAATTTGCCACAAGAGGTTGCTGTTTCTTTCTGTGGTAGATTGGTTGCTGTTTCTTTTTGTGGTAGACTGGTTGCCAAACAAAGCTAAAGGGCCCAGTCTGTCGTGCTATGCAACTTATAGATGCCGGTCCTGGGGTGGAGAAGAGATGGATTCATATCTTCCCTAAGGATATTTGCAAAAAATTAAATGTCATGAACACGACTGAAATTCGAAATCGGTTCTCCGAGTTTGAATTTCTACTACGAACCTTATCCATTACGTAACAACGCACTTCATAAATTTGCAAAGTACTTTAAATAATTTGCCATTTAATTTCACAGTGATCATTCCCTTTCTGTCTTCAGTATCATCAGACAATTCTACAGTTTTCCTAGAAAATTCTAGTCTCAATTTGGTATACTTTTATTATTTGCATAATTAATTTTAAAAACTCTAAACCTGTTTTAAGCTACTATTTCCTCATTTTTTTTTAGTGTTTCTCTTTTTATAGTCCTGTCAGTCATTTTCCCCTATCCCTTCAATCTTTTATTAAAATAATTCTTGGAAAAATATTTATTTGACTCTCTAATCAGATTCTTATCATCCTCAAACTCCTTTTCTTTTCACTATTATACTTCAAGTTACTATTCATTGATTTCCACCCTTGCCTTACTCTTCGCTCTGCTATCAAATTCTCTTTTAGAAGTTGACCTAGAACTTACTAGCCTTTTCTCAAATATCATTTCGGCATTGCTCCAAATCTGTGAAACAAACAAAATAAAGAACAAACAAACAAATATTTACGTTTCCTTTTCTACTACAACCAGGTTACCTCCCTTTATACTCTTGAATATAGTTTTTACTGATAGCGTTGATTTTCTTTCATTCTTTTTCCTTTACTTATGGTATTCATCTTCTTTTAGTCAGCCTTATTATGGATTCAAATAGATAAGACCACAGTAAAGCATTTCAGTAAATTTTCCACAAATCATAGTTCATTGATCATAAAGGAAAGGTGTATATATAGAAGCATGATTATTCAAAAAGAGACCGTAGTAAATGCTCACTCAGCGATGCCTTTCCAAATGAACTTGGTTTCAGCAAGTGAAGAGAACAGATTTTGTTTGTTTATTTTTATTTCTAGTTTAAAATCAGATCAGCTTTGGAGAAAAGAGACGTCTTTTTCAAATTCAAGGTTGAAAACGTCGCCATGAGCTCTTAATTCAGAATGTTAATCCCAAAATTAGAGCACGTTCCTTTCTACGTATTTACATACCCGCCTCCTGATTTCTGTTTTGACATTCTCCGGAAAGAATATATTGCCTTGTAATTTGTCGCAGAATTTATTCTTACACTTGTGCTTTCTGCTAACAGCCTGCTTCCTTTTTCCTTAGCTATCTTTAACTTTCTTCAATTTTCTTCAGTCATCAATTTTTCCTCGTTTATACTTCAACTTACCTACCATAAAAGTAGTCCTTAGTTATTTCTTCTTTATTTCACTTACATTTGCGCCCCGTTAAAATGTTCTATCCTATCGATATACATTAGGAAACTTTAAAAAAAAAATTCTTTTGGATTTTTTTCTACTTCCTTCGTTCGTTTTAAACAATATTTAAATTTTCGTTTCTTTTTTTATTATTATTTTCTTCCACTTTATGATCCATCCTGAGGGCGATTCTGGCTGAAACGCTTCCTTTTCTGATTTTTCGCCACAAAAGACACTGTCTCTCAACCAACATTAAGAGCTATTCTAATCTCCAATCCCGGCCTTTTTCCATATTCTCCTTCTCTTTTCTCATCTTTTTTTCTTCAAATTCTTCTATCCCCGGAGGCTTCTCTCACCTATCCTAACTTGGTAACATTATGGTCTTCAGCTGCGCCGCTTGTCATAGTGCCCACGCATCGGCGCATATGTGGCCAATTCAAACGGACATAGACGATTAAGAACACACTGCGCTCAAAATTCAATAATGCAAGAAACACAGACCGAAAAATGAAGAGAGGGGGAAAAAAATGAATAACTGAAATAAAGAATCGACAAAGATAACATTTTGTCTGTGTGTGTTTGTATGTTAATGTTTGTGTATGTGTAGATGTTTTCTTTCATGTTTCAATCGTATACACAAAAGAATAACAATAAAAATGAATGTAAGGGAAAAATTAAGAAGGAAGACGTACGTGTAGCTCGGATAAGAAATTATGGAAAACAAAGGAAACAAGTTGAGGCTAGATCAGATATATTAGTAGTGGCAAGAAAGCTTGGAATATAAAGTGGAATCAAGGGAAAAACGATGGGGACGAAAGAGAAAATGAGAAAAATAGTGTGAACGGTAAGTGAAAAGAAAATAGAGGAAAGTAAAAAGAAGAGAACAAGCCAAAAGCAATGGAGAAAGAGAGGTGGGGATAGAATAAAAAAGAAAATGACGAGGATGAAAAGTAAAAGAAGATAATTTACTGAAAATGAAATAAAAACACAAGAAGAAGAAGAAGAATACCACCTGGAAAACTAACGATATTACGAGAAGGCGATGAGGAAAACTAGAGGACATCGACGTTAAAGATGAAGAGAATTAGAAGAAACTAGAAGGGAGCGGGGGAAAAGAAGAATATAAAAGGAAGTCGGAGAGAAGGGAGATATGGGAAGAGGAGATAGGATAGAAGGAGAAACACAAAAGAAGAAGAAGAAGAAGAAGAAGAAGCAGCAGCAGAAGAAGAAGACAAAGAAAAACAACAATAACTACGACAACAACAACAAAAATATGATAAGTAGATGTAGAAAAGAAGAAGATGATAAATATGACAAAGTCGAAGAAAATGGAAGGAGAGCAGGTCGGAGAATAATGAAGGAGGTGGGAGAGAATAAAAATATGGAAGGTGGGGAGGCACAAGATAAGAAGAAACACATAAATGGAAGGAGCAGAAGAAGAAGAAGAAGAAGAAGAAGAAGAAGAAGAAGAAGAAGAAGAAGAACAACAACAACAACAACAACAACATCATCAACAACGACGATAAAGAAGGACAAAGCAGAAGAAAATATAAGGAGGCAATGGAGGAGAAGATTATAGAACAAGGAGGTGAAAGTGAAGAAGGATATGGAAGGGGAGGGAGAAAAATAGAAGAAGAAGCGAAAAGGTAAAAGAATTATAGAATGAATTCTGTTTAAAAAACGTAAAGAAATACTGAAAGAATTGAGAAAGTCAAAAGAGATGAATAAGTAGCAGAAAACGTAGGAGAAACGAACGGAAATCATTTTGATATTCATGGGTTAAAATCACTGGGAATTATATATTTGTACTACTTATTAACATAAGAGGATATTTTGCTAAGAAAAATAAGAAGTCGGAAAAGGGCGTAGAAGGAGAAAAGATGGTGTAAAAGAAAAAGGTGAAATAAAGTAGGAAGAGAAAAGCTTGACATGTTGTGAAAGAGAAATATATTACAGAGGAAGGAGGAAAATGAAGGAAGAAAGTAAGGAAGGAAGGAAAGAAAGAAAGAAAGAACGAAAGAAAGAAAGAAAGAATGCACTGATAATAGAAAATAGACGTTGGGGAAGAAGTCTTCTATCAGAAGAGAATGGAAATTATTGATGTCTTCTCGGAGTAAAAAAAAAAAAATGGCAAAAAAGAAAAAGAAAATATCCCGGAAAGCAAGAAAACAGACGTGAGACAAGAATCAAAAGAAACAAAAAATGATGACAAGCACAGGAAACAAGCAGTAAAGCAAATTGCGCTGTGTTAAGCCGCTTACTCGGAACAAAAAAGAAAGCTTGCTTTTTGGACTCGTGCACCTGACAGTTGTCGGCCTAATCCCTGCAGAGGAAGTGGAACGTTGCAATGACGGTGCTCAGTGTTGACTGATTGTAAACCATTGGTGACCTGACGTAAATACACACATACCCATATGCACACAGGCACAAACACTTATATAGTGAATACTCACACACAGTCAATCAAAGACAGACTCATATAGACAGGAATTCATTTAGATATAATAAAGAACACTCACATTCAAATAGAAAGATAGAGAAAAAGAGAGAGAGGGCGTAGGAGCTTAATTGTTAAGCTTACATAGGCCTGGCTCAAGGCTACATTAACGAGGACACTTTTGGGGAATAAACTTAAAACACAAACGAATTAGTGCATGGCATGTGCTTGGGGAACAAGTTGATGCTGCAAGCGTTTATATATTTACTCCCGTTGGAACGACATAAACAGCTATTTGAAATGTTAGGAGAACTTGACTTATATGGGAAAGATATAAGAATAATCCGTAAATTCTAGCAGGAAAATGGAACATGAATACAGT